AAGGGATGACCCTAGGGGTCCTAGCACAGCAGTTGGGACCACATAAGAGAGCCGTAGCCTACTTCTCCAAGCAGCTAGATGAAGTAAGTAAAGGATGGCCAGGCTGTCTGAGGGCAGTAGCCGCAGTGATAATTAACATAGAAGAGGCCAGGAAGCTCACGTTGGGTCAGAAAGTGACTGTGCTAGTATCTCACGCTGTGTCGGCTGTGCTGGAACAGAAAGGCAATCATTGGTTGTCGCCCTCCAGATTCCTAAAATACCAGGCCATCCTGGCTGAATCAGATGACGTAACTATTCAGATAGCTAACATTGTGAACCCAGCTTCATTTCTAGAAGGGAGAGCCCCAGCAGAACCCATCGAACACGACTGCCTGGAAACAATTGAAGCCGTCTACTCCAGTCGCCCGGACCTCAAAGAGGAGCCGTTCGAAGATGCAGACAACTGGTTTTCGGATGTCAAACCCTTTGCCTGCAGGGACTTCAGCCCAAAAGGCAGAACTGATAGCTCTGACTCGAGCCCTGGAATTGGCGGAGAACATGCAAATTAATATATGGACAGACTCTAAATATGCCTTTTCCGTTGTACATGCTCATGGAGCCATCTGGAAAGAAAGAGGACTGTTGACTACACAAGGGAAAACAAGCATGCAGAGGAGGTTCTGCGATTGCTAAAGGCGGTCCAACTCCCAGCACAAGTGGCCATAATACATTGTAAGAGACACCTGAAAGGTAATACTATTCCAGAAATAGGGAACAGGAAGGCAGATACAGAAGCTAAATTGGCTGCCACAAGGGCTAGGGAAGTGAAAGTAACGGCCCTAATACCAGGAGAGCTGGATACCAACATCCAGCCAAATTACCAGGAATCAGATCATAAATGGATTCAAAGAAATAAGGGCAAAATATTAGAGAATGGTTGGGGTCAACTGGAAACAGGGCAGTTAGTAATACCAGGAAACGTGATGTGGCAGTTTATAAAAGAAGAACATGAGAAAGCCCACTGGGGCTTGGATCCGCTCTATCAGTACCTGCAAGCTAGGATAGCAGGACCGAAATTATTTACCGCCATAAAACATGTCACATCCCAGTGTGAGCGATGCTTGAAAAACAACCCGAATACAGGGACTAAGATACACCAGGGAGCAATAAATCGAGGTAGATTTCCAGGTGAAGTATGGCAAATTGATTTTTCTGAACTCCCAAGAAAAGGGGGGTTTCGGTATTTGTTGGTATTAACTGATACATTTTCTGGGTGGCCTGAAGCATTCCCTTGCAGGACAAATAAGGAAAGAGAAGTAACTAAAGTATTGTTGAATGAAATTATTCCACGGTTTGGAGTACCGAAGAGCATTTCTTCGGATAGGGGTACACATTTCTGTGCAAAAGTAGTGAGAGCAGTAAGCAAAGCATTACAAATTAAATGGCAATTACACACACCTTACCGTCCACAGGCCAGTGGGCAAGTGGAAAAGATGAATCATCTTATCAAACAGCAAATTGCCAAAATATGCCAGGAGACTAATTTGCAGTGGTATCAAGCTTTGCCTATTGCTCTGCTGAGGCTGAGAGTCAAACCAAGATCAAAAGAAAGGTTAAGCCCATTTGAAATCTTGTATGGTAGACCTTATGCTATGCAAGTTGTAAATGGGGACGCCATAGACCAAATTGGTAATCAGTACATTTACGATTATGTAATTACGGTGGGGAAACAGTTTGATAAAAATGCTACTGTAATGATGGAGCACCAACCTAAACAACCTGATTGCAAATTGCATCCGTTTAATCCCGGTGATTGGGTGTATGTTAAGAATCTTTTAGGAAAACCCCTACAAGAGAAGTGGGAGGGACCTTTCCAAGTGCTGCTGACTACCTTCACCACGGTTCGGATCAAGGAGCGACCTACGTGGATCCATTACTCACGGGTCAAGAGAGCTCCGGAGAACAAACAAGAAGAGTAGACATCATGGCCCTGACTCCACCTCAAACCTTTACAACTCTGATCATTGGACTCTTGATAAGTATAGCCTTTCCCCAAGACTCTGCCCCAATAGACCCATGGTCTTATGCACACCAGTGTATCCACCTGGAGTTGGGAATGAGGGGACCCTATTTCGAAGTTTATGCTCTGCATAACAATCAGCCATACGCGAGTAAAGTATGGGATCAGTCCTCCATGGTAGCATACAAGGGAGACCAAATCCAAATTGGGTGTCGAGAGCTTGACCCGGTAGAAGGAGAAACAAGGCGGCTAGTATTAACAATTAAACCCTTGATGCCAGCCTCTGAACATAACCTAATTAACTTTTAGTCCAGTGAAGATGGACCAGCCCACTGTCTGGACCCAGCAAAAGAGCCCAATCTCATGCCAGTGGAGTGACTTCCGGGAAGATCCACCCGGATCACAACCCCAAAACTCGGTAATCTATACAGAAGATTCGCTTGGGGAACCACATCCTCGAAACATAACCTTTGACCCCCACCCTCTTCTCTCTCCTGCGGGAAAGATCGTAGTATGTAGTGGTCCTGAGGAAGGGAGAGCACAGTGTGAGCTGGCATTTAGATTAGACCAGTCGGTGATGTTCACATGTGAAAGGGAGTTGAAAACGCTGGAGCGGGGTTTTGGCTTCCCTAGGCGTGCTGTCCAATATGAGGTGGCATTATCGGGAGACATGATCCCATTGTATCCAGATCTAGACTTACCCCAAGAAACCACTCCACCGGTGGAATGTAAAATAGTGCATAACCTGACCTTTATAGGACCTCAGGTGATAAGAAAATCTAATGAACTAAAATTATTGTTAGACCCCACTTATTCTCTGAAAAAGGTGCGGATGAACATTCATGCCGATGTTACGTATTTGCAGAAGGATTGTCGACCATTTATACAGCAAAGCCTCAAGGGATGGAATGCATGGCTAGCAACAAGGTCTCATCACAGAAGGGCACAAAGAGATCTGAGTGGGTGGGTTGGCACCGGATTCGGTATATTAAACACGATAGATCAGGAGGTATTAGTGAACAAATTAAGTACCGTCACGACGAACCTGGGAAAGCTTAAGATGCCCCTCAGTTCATCCATGCTTACATTAGCAGAAACACAATCGCTAGTAGTAAAACTACTAACCATGGTAGCAAACCATACTGCAGAGGATTTTGTGAAGCTCGCTGATTATACAGGGGAACTCAGCAAAGACATTGCACTCGCTATTCAATGCTCTCAGACGCAACAATGGCTACAATCCGTAGCGGCAGGAATAATGAGAGAAGGAACGTCAGGTATATTACCTCAAGAAATAAGGGAAACAATATTAAAGGACAATCATACTACACAATTTGAGAAGGATCATCAAGCCTGGTGGCAATTAGTAAATTTCACTTATGAGCCCCAACAAGAACACATTGAAGCCTATGTCCTCACCATTAGTGCGGCAGAAGAAAGAGCTATCTTTCCTGTCCTCACTCTAGGGACAATACATCAGGATGTCATTGTCAGGCCAATAGACCATAATGTCTGGGCCAGTTATGACTATACCAAAAAGAAGTGGCAATCGATTAGCACAGAAGCATGTATACCCAGAGGACAATTAGGCTATGTTTGCGAAAACGCTGTGGTAGAAGCAGAAGATTTATGCTTAGATGCCGAGAATAGTCTATGTACCTTTGAAATGCTTCCACATAATAGAACACAATCACAAGTTTACTATATAGGGAATGGGTGTGCTTGCGTGAGGACAGCTTGTGACAACGTCACTATAGATAGTTGCCAGGAAGAGACTAACGATACTAACTTTTGTGTATGCAACTTTACCAAAATAGTAGGTTGTGATTTTCATTATACTGTCCCAATAACTACTCAACAGCTAATTAACGCAGATTTTAACCTATATCAAGAGATTCCCAAATTACAAATAGGGATGGACGTTAAAATTCTTAAAACAATGCTCGCACATCCTAAAGTTAAGGAATTGGTGCAAAAGGTGAATCAAACGACTAAACGAATGGTATGGCAGGTAGAACATGATTCAGAGAAAATAAAAATGTCCTGACCAAAGTAGAACAAGTAGGCCAGCATCATTGGTGGGATATCTTTACAGGATACTCCCCAACAGCTACACAGGTCTTCAACTACCTGGTGCACCCAATGCTAATAGTAATTGTAGCTCTGTTACTACTAACCCTCACAAATATTTATATGTGGTGGAGACTAAGAATTATTATGAAAAGGACCCAAATGGTTTGGGCTATGGTACGAGCGTATCAGCGCCCTATAGGATCAGGACTTGACGAAAGAATTCGTAAGTTATAAGAAAAGGGGGGAAATGAAGCCCCAAAACGGATAGCCTTCAAGAAATAATGAGTTAAAACATGGAATGAGAAACATTCGAAGAAAGCATAGCACTTAGGAAACATATAGAGCAATAAATCGGCTAAGGCATGGAACACAATGACAGGAAAGAGAGATAGGCATAGGGGAATTGATGGGCTAAGCATGTTCAGAGCCAACAATGTCAAACTGACCCTAAGAGCCTTGCCAAGCCATGGGACCAAGCCAAGTACACCGGGAATTGGCCATATTAGGACAGGAGTTCAAAAGTTTAAGGAGGAAGACTCATCAGGTGACCCCTGCCCACGATGAAGGCAACCGGAACGACCACCAAAATGATCCTCAAAAGAGATGTCTCCGCCCACACCACGCCTCTTATGAATATGCATGCAAAAACATGATTATGCATGTGATATGATGTAACTTTATATTCAAAACTCTATAAAAGGCTTGCTTTTGTTACAAGATACTCAGAAATCCCTTTTGTGATTTCTCCGACGCGTCGTAATAAAATACCTCCTGTCTATGCTGACTTAAATTGAGTCTCTTAGGCAGTTATTCTCGGCTTTTGGGGCAAAATTCGGCATCACCTAGATGGCCAGTGACTTGTAGAGATGGACTCGGGCAGAGGGAACTTCAAACTCAACATTCTCATCCCTTTTTTTCCCCAAACCAGGATTTCCCTTTGCCAACTTCTTGGAGGCTGCGAGGAAGAGGCCTGGGACACTGACGAAGGTGAGGAGGAAGTCAGTGTCTCTGGATTCTTAAAATCAGATGGTTTTGGGAAAGCTGCAAAAGACAAGCCTCAGAGACATTAGAAGTGATTTGAGCTTTGCAGCAGCCAATAGATTGGTCAGCAGAATAATTATATAAGAAGTAGAAATTAAGGAGAAATAGAACAATGGTCTGTGTGCATTAACGCTTATCTAGAATAACTCCCTAACCTGCTGAAAAGTGTATCTAGCAAGATATTGGGAAGTTCCAAGATTAATAATGGAGCTCTGTGCATTGTGTTTTAGGGTTACAAGCAGGTATTGTATTTGAAATAAGCAAGCATTGTTTTAACCGTCAATGTGCTTATATTGCTTGGATAGAACTATGGTCAATATGCTTTTGCTTTGTGTGATTGGTCAGAAACTTTTTAAAGTAAATTTTAACGTGAAGTTCTTTTTCTGCTACCTGTGATATGAGCTGCTGACATTTTGCCATTGTCATAACCAAGTAATGATACAGATGTTGGAAAATCACACAGCTCAGGACGCATTCCCAGCAGTCCAGTCCTGTTTGTGATTTGCGCACAGCCCCGAGCTGGCGATGAGTGCCCCTTTCCCCTCTGTGCTGCTCCATCTCCCAGCCCAGCACGGCCCCGGCTGCAGCTCAGCGCTGGGGGGATCTCCTTGCCCTTGCCTGTGGCATGGAGGCAAATCCCATCCTGTCCTTGTCCTTCCTCCCCCAGAGCAGGAGCTGAGCATGGAGAGCAGGGAGGACAAATGCCCGCGGCAGAACCTGGTGGAAGAGGCCGTTTTGAGCGGCTCCACGGCGCAGGAAGCCAACGGGGAGGAAAAGCCCCGGAGATGCCACACGAGGAGGGGCTGCAAACGCAGCCGGCGGGGATCTGAGGGGGAAAGAGTGTTGCCTTCTGATACAAGGCAAGGCGACCTGGTTCTAAGGCTCAGCACGGCGGCCCAACTCTCCTGGGCCGCTCGGGCCAATGACACACGCAGACATCAATGTGATGGACGGTCAAAAGGCCTTTATTATCTCATCTCTTGGGTTTTTATAGTCTAAGGGGTCTCTACGTCAAAAGGGGGTTTGTCCTCCTTACCTGTGGTCAGTAAGGAATGGAAAAGTACTGGGTAAGGAATGGAAAGTTACTGGTATTCGGTTAAGGGAGGCTACATTCCTATGTTAATTTCTTATCTACGGGGAGCAGATGGTCTTATCTAAGGGGAACTGAGGGTCCTGCCTTTCCATTACATCTCGAGATCTTCCGCAGCGCCTGTCCCTTTCTACCACATCTCCCCCCCCCTTTTCACAAATGAATGAGGTAGTCATGTACTGGAGTGAGGTATAAGGTTGTAGTTCGACAAGGGAAAGGGGTCTTGGGAGACCTGAGTAAGCTTTTGCCAGACAAGTTCGGAAAATCTTGTGACTGGCAGTGTACCCTGGTTGAATTCCCTGGTTGAATTCACAGCAATTGTCGTCGGCCTAAGAACAGGATGTTGGCCCGTTCCAGGCGGTTCTGAACGAACGAGACCAGCTTGTTCAGCAGGCATGGTCCGAAGGTGACTGTTAGCAACAGCATCGCCAATGGACCTATCAGGACAGAAATCAGAGTGGTTAGCCAAGGTGATTGATTGAACCAGGACTCGTACCAGCCCTGTTGGGCCTCCCTGTCTTTCTGTCTCTGAGCCAGTCGGTTCCGGAGTTCTGCCATGGAGTCTCTCACTACTCCCGTGTGGTCTGCATAGAAACCTTCAAGGCGGCACACAGGCCCCCTTGCTGCATGAACAGGAGGTCCAGGCCTCGCCTGTTCTGCAAGACCACTTCTGAGAGTGAGGAGACTGACTTCTCTAGAAAGGAGATGGATTTCTCGATCCTTTGCAGGTCCTCGTCAATCGTTGCCTGCAGCTGGGACAGTCCTTGGTGTTGGGTCGCTAGGGCTGAGACACCCGTGGCCGTTCCGGCTGCTCCCAGGCCGAGCAGCATTGCGATAGTTATACCTGTCAGTATCTCTCTTTTGTGGATCCGGCTGGGTCCCTCGAGGAGATGGTACATTTCTTCGTCTGAGTGGTACAAGACCCTAGGAACAATCAGAACTTGGACACAGAAGTCGTTAGAGTCATTGAATTTGTGAAGGAACACACAAGGGCTCACTCCGGATCGCTGGCAAACCCACATCCCAGACGCGGCTGGGATTGCCCACTTATTGTTTCTCCTGTTAGGCTTGACCATTTTGGCGCAGTGGTTACCTCCCCGCTTAGCTAGGGTTGAATTGCCAAAGCATCTGCCTTTGCCTGTGACTTGACTCAGGGTGATTCCTTTGCGAGGGGTGTCCCATCTGCACTGGTGAGGGGCGTCGGCTAAGGAATAACTGAAGGGAGTGTTTAAGGCGACTCCTTCGTAAAAGGGGGGTTTGACATCGTAACAAAGCCAGCAGGACTCGGTTAGGTTAGGGTTAGATTCGTTCAGGGATACAAAAGTAGCTTCTAACATACGAAGGATTGGGTCTGAGTCCGACTCAGTTAAGCGGCTCATCTGAAAGGTTTCCGCTTGACCGTTCGGGACTTCGCTGACCCCTGTGGGTAAGGTTTTGGGGTAGGTTACGTTTCTCCCTTTCGGCACGCTTTTAATCGCTTTGTTGGGTCCGACCGCTCGGGGTGCTGACGGTTGGAGCCTGATAATTTGCACGTTTGCCCTCTCTTCTGGCCCTTGAAGGACCACTGTCCACGTTCTGCCTGTGGCCCAGCTAGGGTGATCTGGCTGCAAGACCATCATGTTGTACTCAGTGCACGCCCGAATTCTAGGGGCTTTATGTTGGTTTCGATGGAAGTTCCTGTGAAAGAAGAGGGGTAATTTGCAACCGATGGGTGCCCAGGTGAACTGCAAGAATTTGTCTGGCTCTTGTGGATCCCACCCAGGCCCCGATGGTCTGGCATCTGTAACTATGGTTTCGCAGCCCCAGTGCCCACAATATCCCCACCCTGGGCTATTGCAGTAGCTTTTCCCAGGGTTTGAAGCTGGGCACCAGTAGGATAGGTACGAGTGTGCGACGTGTGGGGAATAGGGGTTTACCCTTGGCCGTCCCGGAAACAGGTCGGTGATGCGGAGCACGAAGGATGGGGTGTTCGGTGTGGTGATTTCTCTGAGTGTTTTGCCCCTACTCAGGTGTTGCGCGACCCACCTGAAGGGCTGATGGGGGTAGTGGTCTGGGCTGGCTTGCCCTCCGACGACGAGCCCCCACAGCAAAATCACACAGAAACACCCTTGGTGCTTGGGTCTCCCCCGTGCGGGTCTCTCGGGTGCTGTCTGGCGGCTTGGTGGTCTGTCACTTTCGTCTGGAACCGGAAAGTACGCGTCACGAGGACGTCCCACGAGCAGGTCCTGTAAACAGATACTCACAATTCTCGTCAGTCTCATTCTGCTCGCTATGAAGGTCTGGTTTAATCGACTTAAGTGGACACCACCTGATTTTGCCGTCCTTTTTGACTGCTGCATACCCTCGCCCCGTGAGCATCAGCCTCCAACCCCGTTCCCACTCGCCTAGCTCGTTTCTGATTACCACCTGTGGGCCCTCTTCTAGCGTTCGAGTGGCCCAGTGTTTTTGGACGGGACTGTTTGTTTCATCTCCCCTAGGGAATTGATTCAGTGCCAGCAAGGCGGTTGTCAGTATACGTGCCTGATCTCCTGGGGGAATGGCATTGGCAAAGCCCTCTGCTTTTGCCAACACTTCTATCTTGGTTTTCAGGGTTTGGTTTGCTCTCTCTACTATGGCCTGCCCGGTACTGTTATGTGGGATGCCATGCACTAGCGTGATGCCCCATTTCGAGGCGAATTCCTGCACTTGTTTGGATTTGAAGTTGGAGCCGTTGTCCGTTTTGATCTGCCTGGGGATACCAAGCCAAGCCATGGCTGTCAGCCAGTGCTGAATTGTGGTTTTGGAGTTGGTTTTGGGGTGCTGCGTGGCTACGATCGCTCTGCTATAAGTGTCTACTGTCACTGCAAGCCACTCTCGGGGCTTCAATATTTCGCACCAGGTGAAGTCCGACTGCCAGATTTCTGAGGGCTTGAGACCTCTCGGGTTGACTCCGTAGGTCCAAAGGGGTGACTTCTGGCAATGAGGGCAAGTGGCTACCACATGTTTGGCGTCCGCCGTCGAGATTCCGCATCTCTTCGCCAGTGCTTTGACTCCGATGTGGAGCGACTCGTGCAGTTGACGAGCTCTTTGCAAGGTCCAAACGCCTTTTGCTGCGGCGTCCGCTTTGTCGTTGGCGATCTGGAAGTAACCTTTGACTGGGTCATGGCTGTTGATGTGGATGACTGACACGGTGCTCTGTCGCGAGGCAAGTGCTTCTTCCAGCATTAGGGCTGCTGCTGATGTTGGCATTCCTGGTCCTGCCATAGCTAGGCAAAGCCTTGCCACGAATATGGAGTCCGTTACGATGTTGAGGTGTTCGTCTTGGAAGAGTCCGCACGCCAAAACCACTGCTGCTGCCTCCAGCTGTTGCACTGACAGTGTGGGGTCACACGCTTTGACACAGTGCCATTGCTCTCCTGCCTGCCACACTGCTGCTGCGGTTGAAGTCGTGGACGAAGCGTCTGTGAAGACCGTTGGTCCTGGCTGCGGTCTGTCCTTGACCCTCGGTGGCATGTCCATGTCGACTACGGTCAGCAGCTCAGTCCAGGGTGGTCTGGAGGCGTAGGTGATTTCTCCTCCGAAGCCGGAGAGAGCAAGGGCCAGGTACTCCGATATTGTGGCTGACCCCTTGGTCGGCTGCTTGCGAAACGGAAGGTGGATGCTTGTCGGCTCGGTCCCTAGGTGTTTCAAGGCGAGTCTCCTACCCTTCATGATGAGGCTGGCGATGCATTCGATTCCTGGGGAAAATGCACGAGCGGGTCTTCCGAGGACCACCCATTGGATCGGTCGGGCCTTTTCTGCAAGTCCTTGGGCCAGTGCTCCCACTCCCCCCTTCGGTGTAAAGTGGACGTACAGGTCCAGTGGCATGGCTGGGTTCCACCTGGCAAGCGTGCCAGTGGCCATCTGGTTTTCGATGAAGTCGAGGGAGCTCGTTGCTTGCGGTGTCAGCTCCTTGGGATCCCAGGGGTTCTTTCCTTTCAGGAGGTCGTACAGAGGGTCCATGACCTCGGGAGGAATCAGGACGATGTTGCGAAGCCACTGCAGCAATCCCACTAGGCGTTGCACGTCGTGGAGCGTCTTGACGTCTCGGTTGATCTTCATCTCGGGGGATGTCACGTAGGAGCTTGTGATGCCCACTCCCAGGAAGGTCACACAGGGTCCTCTCTTGATCTTTGCGCTCGCGATCTCGAAGCCGTTGGCCTGAAGGGTTTCCGTGATTGTGGTCACCAGGTGATCTACTTGGCTTGTCGATGGTGCTGCGACCAGGATGTCGTCCATGTACTGGATGATGGTCGCGGTGGGATAGGAGTGTCGGACTGGCATCAGTGCTTTGTCCACGGTGATTTGGCATATGGTCGGGCTGTCGACCAGGCCTTGCGGAAGCACTCTCCATTGGAAGCGAAGGTTGGGCCGTCTCGCATTTGCAGCGGAAGGAGGCTGAGTGTGACCTGCGCGCCCCCTCCCTCTCCTGTTTCCCCGGGGCCAGGATCTACAGTCCCTAGCGAGGCGTCTTCCCACATCTCCTACAGGTCCCTCTGGGGCGTGCTTGGAGTGAGGGTGCTGCCAGGGAAAGCTGTGCCGGCTGGGGACAGCTCGCTGAGTTGCTGCCCTTCCCCAGAAGCCTGGGCTAACGCGGTCGTCTTGCCACTCCTGCTTAAAT